TGCGTGGCCAAACCACGGTTAAAATTTTTCAAAACAAAAAAAAAATAAGTGTAAACTTCCTTTCAGCCAGTTCTAACTAATTCGTCCAAGCAAAAGTTCACCTCTCCTCATACATGTATAAATACAACAGCTGTACAGCGCACGTCACCATTCGCAACCGTCCTTTGTTCGTGTCTGTTTGTTCGCACACTTCGTGCAGCGCAGCTAACGCGAAGAGCTCATTGTGTATCGGTCTGGCGGAACGATTTTCGCACTCAGTACAAATGCAATTGTGCTGAGCGCCCAAGGACGCACGTTTTGTTCCGCTTTGGCAAGATTTTCCGCTCGGAAACTCCTGGCAGAGCAAACGTCTTGCCCGAATGCTCGGTTTGAGTGAAAATCGTTGCGTTATATAGGGGGAGCGTAGGATATTTAACTTGTTCTCTCGACTTAGATGTTTTGATTGTTGAAAATAAATTAAATAGTTCTTGGTGATTGGGTCCCGTTTTACTATTTGGGTACGGAACCCTAAAAACGCTCATTCTCACCATGTTATTGCGCACTACCAAAGGCGAACATTACCTAGAATGGTTACGACAAGATGGTAATTAGATGCTTGTTAAAATTTCACGAGTCTAAGCCTTCGGGCATTAAAATCTTGTTTCTATCGGAAACTTCTCGTAGGAGAAAACGATTCAAGAAAAAGGTTTTTATAATGGCGGATCTTCGAAATATGTTTTTGTTATTATTTCGAAAATATGCAGGTTTCCTTACGATGTTTTCCTTCACCGCTGAGCACGTGATAAATCAGCACTTAAAATTAACAATTTCATTGGCGCCGGACTGGGGATCGAACTCAGGATGCTCGAGTATATTGAATTAAAGGCGAGCGCCCGGAAACTGAGCTATCGGCCTTCGGATGGGGATTACTTGGTTTCATTAAATTAATTATTCATTAATTATTGACCGATTGACCATAAACCTTAGAGAACCCGAATATCGATACCAAAGATTATATTATATAACTAGCGGACCCGACAGACCTTGTCCTCTACACGCGACATAAACAACAAAAAAATAAAAAATAAAATTGTAGTGGACCGAATTGTAAATCTAAACCATTCTCGAATCCACCTGAAGAAACAAAAATAAATTCAATTAAATCGGTCCAGCCATTAAGAAGGAGTTCAGTGATATATATAGGCACAGAAGAATTATATAATTATATAAAAATAAAAATGAAGTAAATATTTTGAATACTTTACACAACGATATTCAAATATTGTTCAACGTTATGAACGTGCTTCTATATACTTTTCTCTTCAAAATAAATGTATGTTAAAATATGTAGAAAAAGTGCGAAAAGATTGTCGCCGTTGTGGGAATCGAACCCACGTCTTCGGCATTCGCGGCCTGACGCTCTAGCCACTGAGCTAAACGGCTGATTGACACACCGACGAAAATCTTAACGTATTCTTCTACATTGTTTTCTTAGCATTTGAAGCAATGCTTGGCGCCATCTATTGTTATATCCTTTCCAGCATACAAACAACTTCGAATATCGTTTTACAACGATAATTCGAACGATAGATGTCGCCATTGCTTTTTAGAAATTTAAATTGTTTATAGTGCTAATCTATGCACTTAAGATTGAACATTAAAACATGTAGAAAAAGTGCGAAAAGAATGTCGCCGCTGTGGGAATCGAACCCATGTCTTCGGCATTCGCGGCCTGACGCTCTAGCCACTGAGCTAAACGGCTGATTACCACACCGACGAAAACCTTAACGCATTCTTCTACATTGTTTTCTTAGCATTTGAAGCAATGCTTGGCGCCATCTATTGTTATATCCTTTCCGTTATAAATTTCTAGTTAAAAATTAATTTATCACTAATTAGCATTAATTATAATTATGTACTCACTGTTATACAAAACTGTTTGAAGAATTATATTTCAGTTGTTCTAAATCAAGATTAAATAAAAGCGCTATAAATATTTTATAACAATAGTAGTTGATATGCAACTGTTTTTTTGTCTATGATATACGATGGACATGTTTCTTATTACGTACGAATACAAATTGCTTTTTACACAAATTGCGCATCCCTATCTACAGACCTGTCATAATATGAGATTGCAATAAATTGTGCACATGAAAAATGGACACGTCACCCGCTCGATTTCTCATCGTGCCATCATAATTTGTAACGTATTGCTTTTGGTATACTGAAAATATGTTCATTTGTTATTTTATATTTTCGACTCAATGATAATTATCATATTATATAATATATAACTAGTACCTACACTTCTCTCTCACTAACTTTCCGATTGGCTGGTAGAAAATGTCTTATGGCATTAAGACAACCGTTTGTACCCGTTAGTACAATAATATGTGCAAATAAATAAAAAATAAATAATTCTGATGATAACTAAGAAACGGAGACTACGATATTATCTCGAAAGTTTTGTAATGTGGGACATGAAATTAACTTAATGTATAGGTATCTCCTGTTTATAGCTTTGGTGCATAGTATTGAAGAATTTACTCAAGAACAGTGAAAACGATCAATATGGTTTGCTTATATTTTTTTTTCTAGCAATAATATTCACATAAAATTATTTTATTTATTACCTGCGTTAAAAAATCAAAGCTTATCCGGATACACCGGACTTGAACTCTTGTTGTTGTTGCTCGAGTACATTGAATTAGCGATGCATCCCCATCCCACGGTTTCTATTTTCCCGTTATCAAGGTATAAGTCTAAATTCTTTTTCTGTCAAAAGTTGTCAAGCGAGCAGACGGTTCACCTGATGTTAATTGAATACCGCCGCCGATGGACATCTGCTACACCTGAGGGTTCCAAATGCGTTGGCAACCTTTTGAAAATTGGGCTTCGGCCACCTCACTCACCAGACGAAACGCGAAAGTATTATACTTCCACTTTACGCCAGTTTTCTGTGAGGTCGTGGTACTTACCCGGACGAGCCTGCCCATTCGTGCAACAGCCGAGGCTGCTGCGTGGCCCTCCTACCGTAGACATTAACAATCGTCAAAATGTGCGGAAAATGTCGCAGACATTTCAATTGTAGCTCATCTAACTTAGGGGTTGTTTGTTGCGCGTCCGATTATCGTAAAGTATCCACTTTTCATCACAAGTAATGATTCGATTTAAAATCCCTTCATTATTGTGTCGGTTGAGCAAAATACAAGAGTCGACGCGTGTTTGCAAGTTCGATTCACTCACTTCATGAGGTACCCATTGTTCAAGATTTTTTACTTTCCCGATTTACTTCAAGTGGATTTATACAGTTTTATCACTTACTCCGAAACCTGCAGCTATCTCTGAAGTGCTTTGTGATGGATTCGCTTCCACAATAGCCTTTAATTCTTCATTTTCCACTTTGGTCTCCGGCCTTCCACGGGGTTGGTTCTGAAGATCGAAATTTCCAGAACGAAAACGTTGAAACCAAAACCGTACCGTGCTTTCTTTTGTGACACCAGCGCCGTACACATTATTAATCCATCTAGCTATTTCTGCAGCACTGGTGCCACGGTAGAACCGATATTTGTACTCGTAAATACACCGATATTTCATGTTTTCCATTGTGCAGTAATAAGCGATTGAATGACTGTTTTCAAAGCTCAAATGTACCAGGTAAATGAATTTATAAATTTTAATTTGGAATTCTTAACCACAGAATCTTAAAAACGCTAATTTGATATGTAAACGCTATTCTGATATTATAAACAGTTACGAGGTGGATATGGCACTAGCGCACCTAAACTGAGGCACTCAAATTACGCCAATTCGTGCAATTACACTGCAACTCTATAGACTTTGCGTATCAAACGTTCTATATCATCTGTCACATACTTATTAATATGGCATCTAGCGTAAAGTAGAAAAATCTTTACAAGCCGGGAAGAATGGACAGGTGTCATCTTTATTAAAACAAGATTATGTATAGCAGTGTGAAAGGAAACTGTATCACGCATTTTATAATTCCCGACATCTCGAACCCTTTCCAGCGTTCGTGGTCACAGGAATGACCAGACTCTGTTCATAATAACAAGAAATCAACATGAATAGCAATGTTCCAAATTTTAGGCTACTCGTAATTTATGAAATTGACTAACCAATTAGTTCCTTTTCTTTAAAATTTTCCTTAACATTCTTTAATCACATTTAATAAGATAAGAGATGATGAAGAAATTTTCCCTTAATGTTTTAGTGAACATTATATAACTAAAATTTAACTGAAATAAGTGTCGCGAATTGATCCATTACATTTTAGTGGTTCTTTTCATTCTTCGTTTTTTAATAACTTCTTTTCATCGTTGCCTTCAATAATTATTTATCAAATACTTCACTTGAACTTTAACTTTCAATAAATTGAGGTGAATGAATATTTAAAAATCTATTAGTCCATAATTAGATAATATTTTGTATTTATTTTTCAGGTAAGTAATAGCAGTTTTACTCTCAAGTTAACGCGGACTACCGTCAATTACTTTATTCACGCTTAAGAGTTAATATGGACCCACAAAAGTCATCGTAGCCATAGGATAATAACTTATACAGGTAAGATAATAGTGAAGTATTCGATAGTATATAAGATACGATTTTCTAGAAGTCTGAATATATTTGCCCAATCCTACATATCCTTTTCTCTAATTTATTAATCTTTCTTACATTGAGAGGATCTCACAACCTATACCAATTAATAACGTTATACCATTTGGTACAGTTTACAGTATGAAAAATAACCAATTCATGATTATTTAATCTGAAATTACTAGCTCTGCCTCTTTGTCTCTCTACTGATGAAAAATATGGGTAAATAATTAGGTCGTGACAGAAGTTACGAAATTAATTACGAAAACCACAGTCGGGGGACGCGAGGGAATGCAATTTTCATATAAAATTTTGTTCTATTTAAAATAATTACAATTTAAACTGAAGCTTCACTGTAAGACGACAACGCATCTGCAACCCTACGGGTGTGGAAAATGACTATGGGCAGCGGTAATCACTTAATATCAGGTGAACCGCCAGGTCACTTGCTGCCTTTACCTTATAAAACGGTCAAAATGAGTCCGTTGCTAAATTCAAAAGCTTGTAAAGGAACGTTTGTGTGTTAATGGTTATTATAGTGTTAGTGATTATTTGAATGATAACACACTCTGGAAATGAATTGATCGCTCCAGGCTCTTTCAAGTGGAATTCAATAAATTGTACACATATTTGCTATTTTTTTGTCAAGTTAAAAAAATGTTCCTCTGAGTTTCTTACGCCGGTTCTTCTCAGGTCAGTGGCTTCCCTTCCGAACCGGTGGTAGAGTTTTTTGACTATCAATAAGTAAGTGTAATGCTTCTATATTGAATAAAGATATTTGACTTTGACTTTGACTTTACTCGAACCAATAGTTGCGTGCAGTGTATTGAGATAATACGAGGGCTGGATTTGTATAAGGAACAGCCTTTACATGTGCTACTGCTAGGCAAAGGCCTCCTCTCTCCATAGAGTACTAAGGTGGACTCCGCAGTGACTAGTCCACCACGCGACCCCACTGCAGATATCACTTATTTTCGAAATAATTACATTTTTTTTTGCCATTATTTCAAAAATAGGCAAGTTTCCTCGCGATGTGTTCCTGTAATCGCTTAGTACGTATTACGTAAGTATTATTTTAAGTTTTAATATGGGACCACATGGGAGCCAAACCAAACGCAATACAAAGAGAAATTTTAAAATCGATTCATAAATGCCATATTCTGTGGTAACAAACATACAAAAAAAAATACTGTTGAATTGAGAACTCCTCCTTTTGTGAAGTCGGTTAAAAAGCGAATGCATTTACACTGAGCTACCACGGCTACAATAAACTCGTGTTCTAAAGAGCGTATCCTACTTAGCCTCATATCAGTTGCGGGTCAAAGAAGGTCCCTAAGTGTTCATGGTAAGCGCTCTCGAGGCAGTTTAGTGAGGATTTACGAGTGTCAGGGCGTGTGAACTTGCAGATATGTCAATTCACGAGGAAAGCTTGACACTCAATACTTACGCGAGTAGGCTAAGAAAACGTTTTCAATTTCCTAACCTCAATCTCATTTACACTTTGGTTCTGAACATTATTTTTTCATGAACTATTTACAACTCAACTCACCTCAACATTTTTCTTGTGAATATCCCATAAATGTTCATAAACTATCAATTAAATTAATAAAATTTCCAGATTTGTATTAATCAATAATCATTTAATAGTATGTATGTATCTTTAAAATGATTTAATTGTTGTTTTTGATAATAATTGATTGTACGAATTGGATCTGAGTTAGGGACAAAAAACAACGTTGAGAAATTATATGAAATCATTAATGTCTTCATTTCATTATACAATTACGGGCTAAATTTATATTTAGCAATTATAAAATGTGTTCTTTTATTTACATTTTTGATCATTTAACTTTATTCTTAAAACTGTAAACAACTGTAAACAACTTAATAGCCGAGCTAGCTTTCAGATTCCATCTTTTGTATTTTTAATACTGATGAAAAGAAAAATTATGCTGTGAATAGTGAGTAAAAAGATAAAATTAAATTTTTACTCATCTTAAGAAACCCAACGAATTATTAATTGTTTTATCATTACCAACTTTTTAAGTAATAGAATTTTTCTACGTAGAATATTTTTTTATTATTTTTGTTACTTGTCTCACCTAGCCCAATTTTTAACCAACCTACTGCGGCAGTAATGATGGTATAATAATCCTGAAATTCGCTAATACACGCTTCTAGTCCACTTTTTGTATCTTGCAAAAAAAGTTTGAGAGTTTGAGAGTCACAAGATGCTATAATCTCTTCTTGAAAGAACTGGCTTGCCATACTATCAGTGTCTGCGCTACAGACAAGTTAAAATTATAAATAAATTTAATATTATTAATATGTATAAATTAACGTGTAAACCATAGACTGTCTTTATACTTGTAACACTCGCGTTGGAAGTCGACCGTTATATTTTAAATATATTGGCTCAGGATGGTTAACGACACACATTCAAATCAATACATTCGCACTGACCTTCCAACAGTAACGGACTCACATTCGAATCCAAACTTAATTGTTTTAGTTGAAATTATATTAGTATAACACGTTCAGAAGCATTATTTCTTCATCCTTGTTCTATCCTGAACAAGAACTGGCGACCGTGACAGGACTTTTAATCCTTATTGAAGAAAAAGAAGAAGATTCTTTGTTCCCGCACACGTTATCTACCGGGATACCGAAACCAGCAGTCAGCAGCATCGCAGTACGTAATCTACGTGTTCAGCACCGCCTGTCTGCCTATGAACATCGGTCATCCAATCTACACAATCAAGATCTCCAGCGCACGACGCAGTCAGCAGCACAGCAGCACGTGAACGACGTGTTCAGCACCGCCTGTCTGCCTACTAAGCTGAGATTAACTTCCACGCGATCAAGATCTACTGAGCCAGCGGCCAGCAGTCAGCAGCATTTCAGTACAGAAACACCGTGCTCAGCACCGCCTGTCTGCCTATCAAACTGTGAGTCCGTTCCTATCTACTTCCTAGTACAACTCCTCTTTTATTTAGAAGTCAATGAAATTAGTTCCTCGATTTGTGCTTAAGTCGGCATTAAAAAGTTAATTTCACAAACGTGCGAATCAGATTTTGCTAGCTTTCATTGCATATCACAATTATCTCACATACAGCTACCTACTACTTATTTGCAAACAACAAAAAACAAACTAGCAATCTACTTTTGTTCCTTGTTATAGCATTATAAACTCAATCTTTATCTTCCTTCTCCGCAGAGTAAAACGATTTGAAGGTACATACATATCTTATCACTTTCAATCTTAATCGACCACTTTCATTAAGCATACCTAGCGCACTTTCCTATTACTATTCACTGTCACATATTATTATAAAGCGGTACATAAATCTGTTCCAGCGAACACGCTGCCTTCATACCGGCACGCGTGCGACAAGCATCCTGCGCAAGCGTTGCATTTAAGACTGACGACAGCTGATTGTTAACGGTCTCCCAGCGCGTTGCATCAGGCCCACGCGGGGTAGGAAGCCGCGGAGGGAGGAGCGTGACGTAATCTTGACCCAGTTACCTAGTAAAACATCTGATCGAGTTCAACGCAAGTAATTTTTTCTACGCTATGTCGGAAGACAAAACAAAGGATTTAATTGCTAAGCGTGGTTCAATACGTGGACGCGTTACTAAATTTAAATCAAATATAGATTCTTTGCTTACACAGGACACTATATCGCCTTTAGATATATCTAAGCTTGCGTTGAAATTATGCAAATTTCAAGAATTATTTATTGAATTTGACGAGCTCCAGAATCAATTAGAAATTTCGAATGTAGCCACTCAAGAATTCGAGTTAAATACTAGGGATTTAATTGAATCAGATTTTTATTACTGTTTAGCCTCTGCTCAGAATATTATTGACAAATATAAAAAACCCGACTCCGACAGTGCTTCTACGGCTAGGTCTAGTTCTCACTGTAGTCAACATGGGTGCTCTGAAGATATTAATTTTAAGTTGCCAGTAATAAAAATTCCTAATTTCGACGGCACATATTTTAAATGGCTTGAGTTTAAGGAAACGTTTGTATCGCTAGTACATGATAATGTTAAAATTAATAAAATTCATAAATTTCATTATTTAAACTCCTACCTTGAGGGTGAAGCCGCTCGTGTCTTGAGTAATCTCGAGGTAACCGAGACCAATTACTCTGAAGCCTGGTCACTTTTGTGTAAAAGATATGACAATAAACGTCAGTTAATAAATAATCACTTAAGGTCATTACATAACTTAGAAAGTGTACGCGAAAGCGATAAGTCGCTTCGTTTTGTAATAGATCACGTCACTAAAAACCTACGGGCTCTTAGGACCCTAGGCTTGCCTACGGATACATGGGATGTATTAATCATTTATATGGTCACGCAAAGGCTTGACAACGGGACGTGCTTTAAGTGGGAGGAGTATAGAAACAATTTACCTGAAATTCCAACGCTAGATCAATTTTTTACCTTTCTTAAAAATCGTACCGACGTCCTTGAGACGACACAAAGAAATAAGCAGGAAGTTCGAAATAAGCCCTTCAATCTCTCGGTTCCCCAACCCACAAGATCACATACGAAATCGATGGTCGGCGCGACACTCACATCGTCCTCTCCCCAGCGCAGCCTTGAGTGTGTAGTCTGTAAGGGTACTCACCGCATTTATGACTGTTCCTCATTTAAGGAGAAATCCATTGAAGAGAGAAAGAGTTTAGTGGAATCGTTAAGGTTGTGTGCCAATTGCTTGCGAGTAGGTCACAATTCACGGCACTGTAGGCTCTACGGTACATGCCGTTACTGTAAGCAAAAGCATAATACTCTGTTGCACAGTCGGCCTGATGTGCAGAAACCGGTTGTTCCCGGTGTGTCTCATACTGTAGCAGTGCCGGCGATAGCCTCGCCAGAGATATTACTAAGCACCGCTCTAGTCGAACTTGCCAATCCTGTTACGAAGGAAACTCTTATGGTGCGAGCTATGCTAGACAGCGGGAGTCAGTCTACTTTTATAACTTCCGCCATAAGGCAAAGATTAAATCTGACTCCTCAGCCAACTAGAACCCGGGTCATAGGTATTGGCGATGTCTCAATGAATTTGAACATTGAGCGTTGTGCGGTGCAGTTAGTTTCCAAAAATTCGGGATACAAGGTCATAAGTTCTTGCTTAGTGTTGCCTACGATTACAGGTAAATTACCCAAGGTAAAAATTGATATTAGTCACCTAAACTTATCAAACTTTCGATTAGCGGATCCTTCCTTCAATAAACCTTCAGACATTGAGATGCTGATAGGCGCGGACCTATTTTGGGACATAATAGGTTTCGAATCGCATGAGTTGGGTAAAAATAACCCCGTACTTCGGAGTTCTAAATTGGGTTGGTTAGTTACCGGCTCTGTAATGGGCCTAAAAGGTAAAAATGTTAAAGGTTCAAGCAATAAATCGATATATTGCAATTTTTCATCGATGGATGATTCATCAACTCTCCACTCGGAACTAACCAAATTCTGGGAATTGGAGAGCTTTCCTCAGACTCATCCCTTAACTACAGAAGAAAGTTTTTGCGAAAGGCATTTTCTCGCTAATACAATCCGAAATGAGGACGGAAGATTCTGCGTTGCCTTACCTCTCCGTGATACACCAGACTGTCTTGGTGACTCCTACTATGTTGCAAAAAGGAGGCTATTGAGTCTGGAAGCTCGCTTTAGAAAACAGCCGGACCTTAAAAGGTTGTACCTTGAATTTGTGCACGAGTATAAAGCTCTCGGTCATCTTTCCCAAGGTCCCAATCAAAAACCTAGTGAAGCGTATTTTTTACATCACCACCCTGTAATAAAGGTGCAAAGCGAGTCCACGAAGCTTCGCACTGTGTTTGAAGCTAACACTCGGACGTCTTCGGGCATTTCCATTAACGACTTGCAAATGGTAGGGCCTATAGTGCAGGATCCATTGTTTAACATAATTATACGATTTCGTCAGCATAAATATGTTACTATCTGCGGACATAGAGAAAATGTTTCGCCAAGTCTCTTTAAGAGAATCGGATCGTAATTTGCAATTGATTTTGTGGCGCGACAACGAGTCGGAGCCCATAAAAATATTTCGATTAAATACTGTTACCTACGGGTTTTCTAGTGCTAGTTATCTATGTACGAGATGCATTTGGCAGTTAGGAGAAGAGTGCTCCGATCTTAAAATTAAAAACGTAATCCAAAGAGATTTTTACTGCGACGATTTATTAACGGGATGCGACTCAAGAGAAGAGTTAAGCTATATTCAGCGTAATGTAGCCGCTACTTTGGCTAAAGGTAAATTTCCTCTGCGAAAGTATCGTTCAAATGTACCTGAACTTCTCAACTGTGATGAGATCAATCTGGAGGAGAGTGGATTAATGATTAGTAGTTCTACAAGCACATTGGGCGTGGGTTGGTATCCTTCGTCGGACGAGCTTCATTTTAACATTAATTTCGTAGCCCCAGACGTCATAACTAAGCGCAATATATTGTCTTCCACGTTCAAAATTTTCGATCCTCTAGGATTATTATCTCCATGCACAATTAGACCAAAAATTCTTGTTCAAACGTTGTGGAAACAAGGGTTTAATTGGGATGACCCGGTGCCTCAGGATGTTCAATCTTCCTGGATAAAATTTACACAGGATTTGCCATCTCTGTCGACGATTAAGATCCCCAGATGTGTGTTACTTGACAGCCCTATCTTAATTGAAATGCATTGTTTTTGTGATGCTTCACAGCGCGCTTTAGGTGCTTGTATTTATCTGAGATCAAGCAATAAAATTTCACAAGTGTCTTCAAATCTACTTTGCGCTAAGGCTAAAGTAGCTCCTATAAAGACCACGACGATTCCGCGCCTAGAATTGAACGCTGCGCTTCTTTCCGCAGAACTTGCACATGCTGTGTCCAACGCTCTACGATGCAATATTGACCGATATGTGTACTGGTCTGACTCAAGCGTTGTACTTGGGTGGTTGAATACTTCAAGCAAAACTGATACGTATGTCTCCAATAGAATAGCTAAAATAAGGGATCTAACTGGTTCCACAATATCGACATGGCGGCATGTGCCGACAGCTTGCAATCCCGCTGATTTAGTCTCACGTGGCATAAGTCCTCAATCTATTGGTAGCTCTTCACTTTGGTGGCACGGACCATCTTACCTGCTTGAACCAGAATCCGCATGGCCAACGTCTAGCTTCACTCAAGTCACTAGCCCTTATGATATTGAAGCCTTTCCAGCCTTGGTGGCGGACGCTGCACCTCCGGTACAAAGTAGTGACCTTAGCATTTGCATACAAAGGTTTTCAAAATTTATTTCCCTTCAAAACACATTTGCTAGAGTGCTTAGATTCTTACATAACTGTAAAAACCCTAGTAGTAAGTTATTAGGACCTCTACAAGCTTCTGAAGTAGATAGAAGTTTGAAATGTTTAATAAGAATAGCTCAAGGCGACACTTTTGCAACCATCATAAAGTTGCTTAAGGACAACAAACCTATGAAGTCCCAAGCGGCTTTATGTTCCCTTAATCCATTTCTTGACAGCGAAGGCATCATCCGAGTAGGAGGTAGGATAGATTCCTCGAGTTATCCCTATGAGAAGAGACACCCCATTATATTGAAAGCTGATCATCACTTAACAAAATTATTATTTCAAAGTGAGCATAAACGCCTTTTACATGCTGGTCCCCAGCAACTACTTGCCTCTATTCGTGAAGTTTACTGGCCTATTGGCGGTCGTAAATTAGCTCGGCAAACAGTTCGTAACTGTCTCATTTGTACACGTCTTAAGGGTAAAACATTAAAGAATATAATGGGCAATTTACCGTCCGAACGCCTAGAACCTGACTTTCCGTTTCGTACTGTTGGTACAGACTTTGCGGGACCATTTATGATAGCTGATCGAAAGGGCAGAGGATGTAAGATATCAAAATGTTATCTTTGTATTTTTATTTGTTTCCGATACAAGTGTATCCATTTAGAAGCCGTAAGCGATTTAAACAACGATGCCTTTTTATTAACGTTGAAGCGATTTATAGCAAGGCGCGGTTTGCCAAAAATTATCTACTGCGATAACGGTCGTAATTTTGTAGCAGCTTCCAAAGACATCAACCAGTTCTTTAAATCTCAGGCTGAATCTCTAATAGAATTTGGAGCTCCTCAAGGGATAGAATTCAGATTCAGTCCGGCATACGCTCCTCACTTTGGCGGCCTCTGGGAGGCCGGGGTCAAATCCGCGAAATATCACATACGGAGAATATTAGGAGATGCCCATTTTACATTCGAGGAGCTGACTTCATTGTTCTCTCAAATAGAAGCTATCCTTAACAGCCGTCCCTTATGTCCTATGAGTTCCTCTCCAGATGATTACCATCCTTTAACCCCGGGCCACTTTTTGATTGGGAGACCGTTGACATCTCTACCATCACCAAGTTTCATCGAACA